GCTTTGATCTGCTTGGCGATCCGGCAACGGTAGACACCCGGAATGTAGCTCCGAAAGGTAACGATGCACAGCCCAGAGGAGGTAGCTCGAACCCGTAGGTCGCACGGAGTCGAGAACCTCAAGGAGCCTGCCAACTTGAACAACCAGAGCACGCTCGGGCTCGGCGGGTCGAAAGTGGTGCAGCACTGGGTATTGGCCGTGGGCCTGGGCTACTTCCAGGAGGCCTCTCGCCGTCGAGTGGCCCCACGAGCCAATCGAAGCTTGGGTTTGCTGCGAATCCTCAWATATCAAACGGCCAGCGAGCTCCAAGGCGATTACCTGTTCCTTGGCGACGTGCTGATAAACGGCCAGGAGATAGGTGGTCGCGATGGCGAAAAGAGCGAATCCACTCATGGCCTCGACCACCGTTAGAAGGCGCAAAGCCGCCGTGACGGGCACGATGTCGCCGATTCCCAGGGTCGAGGCGACATAGCCACTGAAATAGAAGACATCGAGCCAAGTACTCTCACCGGTTTCCGACCACAAGAAGGACCGATGGGGATAGTAGAGGAGTGTGAAGGAAAGGATGAGCCAGAGACCCCAGGTACCGACGCTGAAGACGGCGATCAATGGACCGCAGAGCGCAAAGAACCGGTCCTTAGTCGCTCCTTGTAGACCCTTCATCGAGTAGCGGAGGGTGCTCCAGAGCAGTCGATTCAGGCGCCGATGCAGTGGACCGCCATGCCCTTGGGGGTGAAAGACCGTCATGAGAAGGTCCGCGAACAAGAGCCCGATGAGCAAAGTGCCGCCGACGGTGTAGAGATGGTCGATCAAGAGCYTTAAACCTCCTTCCAAGCCTCCACCTTCACTCCTTTCCGAACCGATGATCGAGCTGATCTTGCACGACTCAAGCGAGTCAGATAGACTCAATCAGGAAAGCTCCGCCCACGCTCCCAAGTAGGGCCGGAAGGACTGCGCCGAGACCCAGCAGGAGCGAGCAGACCGAGAACAGGACGATGAACACGGACCAGCCACGACGATGACGGGGGCGACTCCAGGCCAAGAAAACGCTCAGGAGGATCGCCAGTCCAAAGACTAGACAGGGCCAGGGTCTCCCCATGTGGCCAAGGATGGGGGCTGCCGCCA